GGTAAAACATCAGGAAGATAAACTGGAATGCACATTCTCTTCATCATCCTTCATATACAACCAACATGGAACATACTTTTTCCTGTTAAGACCCCTTGAGTGGCTGTCTCATCATCCCACCCTCACCTCTGTAACTGACAAACCTTGTACTCAATGGAACTAAAATGGCTTCTTGCTGTTTCTCTTCACCTTGTATGTTGATAGTGAGGCCCAAACTACCAGTGTTTTCCTCTTCCCTTAAAATACCTGATGTTCTCTCATGACTGTCCTGCTGTACCTGAGGGCAGCAGATCAGGATCCCTCCACACCCCCTCCACCCAGTACCAAGGGCCTGTTTAGCACTTCCCTTCCACAAAAACTGCCTTCTTCCAAACAGCAGGAACTATTCCCCTCTGCAGCTCCTGTCTGTGCTAAGAAACCAGCTGTGACCCATTTAATGAAGGTAGATCTGTGTGTTTAAAGATCTCGTTGGCCATCACTTTATTTTGAAAAGTAAGACCTGAAATAAAGCAAACTTTTATTTTAGATTTTGTTTCTGTGAACAAAGTTGAAATACAGGGAAAAAGCATTAATGAAGAGCTTGGATATAAATGTCCTGGCATGTTTTTAATCTTTTAATTATACTTTGCATCTCAAAGGTTTTTTAGTAGGAATTAAAATCCGGTTAATAAACAGAAATGGATTTCATAGTTGTACATCAGAAGTATACTCTGAGCTTCACTTCCAGATATAGAAAGCAGAGAGCTCATGAACATGTGGTATAGGTTGCTTTAATTAAACTCTAGTCCATTAAAAAATTTAAGTATGATAAGCAACAAAGAGTGAAAGAATAAGTGGGAAAAAAAACGTAATACCCGGGAAATAACATTTATTCCCATGACACTCTCAAATACCTTTGGTGCCAGGCACCTCAATTACTGCAAATACCACTGGTTAATACTGGCAGTAACTTTACCAGTGAAGAGAGCGCCAGATGCCTTCAAAGACTGATCCAACAAGCAGCCAGTGTGAAGGGAGGGATGTGGCATTTCTCCTTTAATGTGCAGCCTTCTGAAACGGCACGTTGAGACTGGGTGGTCAGACTTCACAGGAAAACAGGATTCTTCATCCTATTCAGCTACTGCAATTTTCAGTGTTTTGCAGAATGCTAAACTTATTTTCATTAAAGAAGCCCAACTTTTCATATTTGATTTCTTTTTCTATTTTGCTCTGAATTTCGACTGTATTTGACTGTCTCTAAACCAAATATATTCTGTATCCTGTAAGGAAAAAGGAGATACAATCCTCTGTAAATCTGTTGAACAGTTATCAAGGAGTCATGGCAAAGAGTGCTAAGAGTTGGACTTGATAACCCTTGTGGGTCTCTTCCAACTCAGCATATTCTGTGCTTCTGTATTAATAGTACCTTTTAAAGGTTACAAGCATTATTTTGTTTATATTTGCCATGCTCTGGGTCAGATTTGCAAGCTTGGACAACTTTTTTTTTTTTTCAAATATGTGCATAGATTTATACTCTAGGTAAATCTTATCCAGTTTTCACTAAAAGCATTTAGCAAAATAGGACAGTAAAATGCAGTATAAACAATAGGTACCATGAAACTACCATACTGCCAATTTCAGGTGCTGTTTATATCACAAATCAAATATGATTTGGTATATTAAATTTATCTTGCTCTTTGAAAGATTTTATATGCAACTTGAAAACTCAGTGCAAAGCATAGTTTGAAGTGGTTTATGACAGCTCCAGTAAGATAAAAAGACCATTTGGCACACACAGTTCCAGGTTTGCGGAAGTTGTCAGTATCCTTTATTCTAGCATCCTGCAAATAATGGCAGAAAAAAATTACTGAAATAGCTGTAGCCATGTAAATAGTTGGATTTATAGTGCATCTTCCAGAAGATTGTCAGCCTTGATTCAATGACTACAGCTGGTGGAGATGTCCCAGGGAGACGTCATTGTCACAGGTTAAGAAAAGCCCTGTTAATACGAATGGTCTATTTTCAGTTTTAACTTTGGTCAGATAACAAGAGGAAAGCAAAAAATCCAAGCTCTCCAGTGCCCCTCACTGTAAGGCAGTCAGTCTGCCGGCCCTGACTCTTCTCTGAGCCCCTTTTCTTTCCGTTTCTTTCCCCCCCACCATTTCCGAGAGCATTCAAATCGCTCTTGAACTTCCCATTTACTGCTTGGGTGCTTCACGGTTAAAGCACCCAGAGATCACAGTTGTTTTAGTATAAGGATCACCCTGGGAATTCAGTCTGTTATTTCTGGTACAGCAGCAGTGGAACACACAAAGTGCTACAATCTCTATCTACCACTGATGCAATTCACTGCTAGTGAACGTTATGATCACTGCTTCACATTTCCCACTTCTTTGAAAATGTATCTATTTTTAAGCCCACAGTCTTGCTTTAACTTCAAAATTACTTTGCATTTATCTTTTTTAGAGCAAGTGACCACAAAGGATTTTTTTTCTGAACTACCTAAAAAAACGGAATAACATTAAAAAAATTAAAAATCACTGTTTAAAGAAGGTGGCAGCACAAGCACAGTGTGGAAATACGTATTCTATGTAACCTAAAGGAGGTCTTTAGAGGTCATGAAAGAAAGAATGCTCTAAATATTAGGATGAAAGAACAACTTCAAGTTTCTTACTCCTTCATAACTCTGTGTTTATGTGAACAATTCCCAGCGTTGTTCTGTCTCAGTTTCTCATATAAGAGGAATAAAAACATTGCAATACTTATTAACTCACAGAGCTCTACTAAGAAATACATTAGTGTTTTAGGTGCAAAATACTATAGTAGTGGAGTAACAAACATCTACACCTAGTTACTATGAAATACCGACTCAGAAGCTCTTACTATACAACAGTATATTTTATTACTAACAAATACAGTAATAACAAAACTACTGAACATGTGTATAAAGTTACCCAGTTACACACAGAATTAGAAAAATGAAGGGTATTTATTGTGCATTTTCACAGGAGATTTTTTGTCTTTCTCACTGTACTTCTCAGTAGCAAGAATTCTGTGTATTTTTAAAGGGGAAAGTCTAAAAGAAAGAGCACATCCCATTTAAGGTAATAAGTTACAAATGCTAAAATGCAGACACTGTAATATAAAGACATTCCATTTTTAATGTATGACGGATAAAATGAGTAACTTTGGTTTATCAGAACTATAGTTCCTGTTGTTTCAGCATTTACATGCCCTTTGTACCATGCAATTTTCATTGTTCAAAGCATCACCATGAATGCTGCCCAAACTCAAACACAGTAATTTCCCTGCATAATATCAAAATACTGAGAAATATTCTTAGTTATCAAATGCAAGATGATGGACAGTCTTACAAAATGCAGTGACATGTTTTGAAAACAGCACAATCCTGTTTCCAAATTATCTCAAGTAATAAATCCCATTGGCTCTTAAGAAATCTTGAGTCAATTGAAGCCAAATGATGAAATTGTTATCCACATCAGTAGCTCTTGAGAACCACCCCATCATAAGAAAGGCTACACATATTAAGGCCTTTCTGATTTAGAGAAAATACATTGCTGTAGCATATAGAAAACTAAGCTTTGTAGAAAAAGTATTTGTAGAAAAAGTATTTAGGCCATCTTCCGAGTAAATAGATTGTTAAACAAGTTTGCATATTAATAATGCAACACATTATTTTCTGCAAGATATTTCTCTACAGAATATATAAAAAATTAAGTTACACTCCTAGAAACACCGTGAAACGAGCTTTCACTGCAGCTCAGTACAAAACCCCAAAGTGTGTGCTTCAGATTCTGCCCACCAAGGCCAGGGGTCTGAAGCGTTCCTTTGGCACAATGCTCTGGAACACCATGCCAGCAGAGGCTCCAAGAGGCATTTTTCTGAAACAGTGCTGCCCCTACTGCATCATCCCTGTGACAGGACACACAGGTGCCTGACCAGTCTCACCCCAGATAACGGTGCATGTCACAGATAAAGGTACAACCTGCTTTACTCAGAACTGACTCATGCTGTCTGATCACCAGGGGACACTTGGCTTCAGCAACCCCCCAACGGAAGCATGTGAACTTTCCCAAGTTTGTACAACACATACAAATACAGCAGTTCTAAAGATTGACCTTATGCAGTCAGTTATTTACAAAATTCATTTTTATGTACAAAATAAATTGCTATAATTCCAGATTCCCTTTCATATTCAGTGTACAAGCTACCATAAACCAGTGCTGTAATTGATACAACAGGACACAATTTAGAGAGTATTTGTAAATTTGTGTATCCCTTATTGAAGTGATATTATCGTTTAAGAGACAGTAAAAAGAGAAAAAAATTAACAACTGTTAAAAAATATCAAAGAGGCGGATGGAATTTTTATATCTGGAAAAGTAACAGTGCTTTCTAAGCATTACTTTAATGCAATTCATTATAAAATGTTTGTCTCTCATCTTTTTCTTATATTACTGCCATGTCCTACAGAACTTCAATTTCCATTATTCCTGGATAGGATTAAATACAGTACATTATTGTTAGCTGTTTCCACAACAAAACATACATTTTTTAAGTGCAAAGCAAGATATGTGTGTTTTTTAATAAGGCACAGAATATCCATTATTTCCAGTGTAACACAGAATTCATGTCAGTTTTATAAATTGCAAATGTTCATATAAAATTTCAATCTTTCAAGGATTTGAACTGTTCCCTGAATCCAACTCTCTTCTGGTGTCTGAAGCTGAGTAGACAAGTAGGGATATGGAAGCTGAGTGTGAGACATCAGGTATTTGGGAACAGCTGCTTTGTAGTGGAGGAGATTCACTAAAATCATTTTTAGGAATTATTCTGCAAGTAATGAAAAAAAACCCAGTAAATTTTAAGCACAGTGCATTACAATGGGAAAAAATTGAGCAATGAAATCATAATGTATTTTCAGTTGTATTCTTTTCAAGAGAATGCAATACAGTTCTGTAAACTTTTCCAAGCTTAGGGTCACTATTGTTGTTTTTCAGATCCATCACCATTGAAGTGCAGTCATAGATTTTTTGGAGCTGAAGCTCCAGCACTCAGCACTTACACGGAAAAGGAGAATCCTACAAATATACAAAATAGCCCATATGCTAAAGATACATGGCCACATGGAGCAGTCTGTAAGTTCTCTTGACAGCTACTGTGGGTTAGCTGCATATTGAGAGTACACTGATTCTTCAGAGAAAAGGAATAGAAAACTTACAACAATAGTGGTAATGTGCATAAACAAGCAAATTATTGAGTTCAGGTGCCTTACCTTCCTTCACCTACTCTCTTCATACTCTCAGTCAAGGTACTCATATGACACGTGTTATCTGCTTTGTTTCTTCTTTCCACCTGATCCATGGTCAATTTAGAACCAGATAACATTTGATCTCCGCTGTTTTCACCTTCCTCGACTCTTCGGGCTGATGTTCCGTCTGCCTCTATCTCTTTCTCAGATGTCTCTGGAGAGGTTTTAATTTCTGCAACAGTTTCTTGGCTTAAGTAATCATGATTAGTGATTGCTACTGCAGAAGTTCCATGATTTGTTGCACCACCCGTACTGGTACCCATTGACTTTGAAATGACTTTAAGTCTGTGTGAAGTTGACTTGTAGTGCTTCTTTTTGTGTTTAACTTTGGAATTGTGTCTCAAGAAAAATTCACATGACTCTTGCAGCACTCTTCGACTCTCACTTATTGGACTAAAAGAGAACACAAGCAGGTAACTGAATGAAGAGGATAACCTTGGCTATAATGTGATAAAGACTCAGACATAAAACCCTGACAGAACAGGAACCAGTGATGCAATCTGAGATGGATGTTAATGAACAAGAAAAAAAAAATATATGTGAAAAGAAGAGAAAAAAAGTCTGATCATAATAGCATCAAAGTAATTATGTTTGTGGAACAATTAAATAAAGCAGATTTCTACATTTCTTACTTCTGCAAGTTGGTCTTAATGACTTCAGTACATTAATGATCTAAGAGAGGAAAGAAGGATTAGCTCATAAAGCAGCTACATTATCAAGTTAAATTTATATAAAGTAAACCTCATGCAAATGAAGAAAGGTAAGCATTATAAAAATTACTTCATTATTTTTAAATCCTTGTAGCTGAAAGCAGTTAACATCTGAAATACAAGAAAAAATTATACAGGAAATGGAAAAAGAGGGTAGAGGGAAAGGAAGCCATAAGCTGACCATTGAAGAATGTAAATGTAAAATAAAAGGAGCTTAAGGACTACTGCCTTGGGAAATCCAAAGAAATAAAACAAACTAAACCCACAGTATAATTTATAAGTAATAGATAATCTAAAAAGAAATAATCAAGGAATAAGAAAGAATTGAAAAATTACAACAACAAGAAATGGAGATGAAATTTATAAGCTGCTTAAATCCATAGATATAAATTTACTAAAATTAAGTAATAAAACTGAATACTTCTCTTTCAGAAAAAAAATAAAGAACACTAGATTTTTGCAATAAAAGTGATAGTAAGGAGAGTTCAATGAATATTAATTTTAAAACAAGATAAGCCTGGCAGAGAAGAAAAGCAGATGATATTATTATTGCATGACAGTAAACACCACAAAGTACTGTGCCAAATGAAGTGGCCACAACACATGAAAGGAACTAAACTGATGACTGAAATTATCTTCCCTCCTTCGACTCGAAACCAGAGATGTATTAGCCAATGCTAAACACAGCAACATGCCTTCTGCTCTACAAAAGAGAAATCAGCAGAGGAAAAAAATTTCTATCTTCTGAGAATGTCAAAAAGTCACTGCATGTATAAACCTTCCCCCGACTCCAATGGAATTTTGCTGATGCCCAAAGGCAGCATTTAAAGTCTGAAAAAGAAGTCTCAGGACAACATTTTGATTACCTGAGCTATATATAAAGAAACATGTCTTAAAGTCAACTTTATAAGTATACACTTTAACAAAAAGAAATAAAAAAATTTTTCTTACTCTCTTTTGCGGTTTCTGTTGAAGAAATTGGCCCATTCAGAACAGGTCTTTTTACTTCCCACCCAGAACACTGGAGATATGCCAACAATTAATGTCAGCAAATATTTCATCAGAAACAAAAATATTTCTGGTCTTGCTAGTGCCTTTGCCTAGAAGATAAAGTTTAATAAATGCAAAGAAAAAAATACACTTGTTGATTTACTTTTTTAAATGCAGAAAACAAATTACGTAAATGAGAGACCTTCTCCTTATGGATGTTTTTCTTGTTGAAGCTTGTACTGCGGGCAAATGTTAGACATGTACAGTCAAGTCAGACACGGTTCATGTCTACAGCTGAACACACACAGATTTTTCAGAGGGAAATATTTTTCTTTCAAATTGAAAGGAAAGGTAATTTGGGGAGCAATAATATTAATAAACATGTTCTTCAGAGGTAAGTATGTATATATATGATTTATCCCTTCAACTTAAAAGAAACAGCCAGTGGATCACAGAATCACTGAATGGTTCAGATAGGAAGGGATCTTAAAGACCATCTACTTCCAACCACCTGCCATGGGCAGGGACACCTTCCACTAGACCAGGATGATCAAAGCCCCATCCAGCCTGGCCTTGAACATTTCCAGGGATGAGGCATCCACAAATTCTCTGGGCAACCTGTTCCAGGGCCTCACCACCATCAAAGTAAAGAATTTCTTCCTAATATCTAACATAAACCTACTCCCTTTCAGTTCAAAGCCATTCCACCTTGTCCTGTCACTGCATGCCCTTGTAAAAAGTCTCTCTCCATCCTTCCTGTAGGCTCCCTTCAGGTAGTGGAAGGATTAGTTGGGAGTTAATCAGATTAGACAGCATCTTCAAGGAGCCGCAGGGAACTACACAGTAGCTTTCTGTTTACTGCAAAATTAATCCACCTATTTGCAGAACTGTATCATAGGAGCTGAGACATTTAACTCAGTAAGAGATCATTATCTTCTGCTCCCATTCTGTAGATTTAATTTGTGTTACCTGGCTTATCTGCCAGCCCATCTATGAAAGTCACTATTTTTGTTAGGCAGGTAACATTAGCCACTTAAACTGAAGTTTGTTTTCATTTGGTTTTGATCTGGTCAATGTAACAAGAGTCTACAAGCCAGCTCAGGTAAGCCAAAGCTGAGCATGCCACTTTAAGCTACTCCACAATTAGCACACACTGTCTACCATAGGGACAGATCCCATAAAATAGATCTGTGTTAACATTTCCTGTTGCTATTTCTTCTTTCCAATAGGTTAATTAAATGATGAAAATACACACTCTTTCCTGTGTTATTGTGCCAAGCTCTTATATTTAAGCACTACAAAACAATGTTGTTGATTTATTTTTTTTAACATAAGTGTCTTGTTTTCAACCTTGTATATTCTAAACCATTTAGGCTGATACAGAAATCAGAATAAAACCCACTGAAGTCAAAATATACTTGTTAAGAAACAGTATTGGAAGCACAAATAACCAAGTTGTCTGTGAACTGTGCTACTCAGCTTACACTGACTTCAATCCAGAGGATAATAAATAATGTTTAAGGATGTAAGAGATCAACCCTTATCACTTCATAATGCCTGTGTTTATATTCCTAATTTTAATGATATTTCACTGCAGCAAAAACATAGACGATAAGTGTAATGCAAAGAAAGATGACATGAGACACTTGCATTTCTCTTAGGGACGTTTGCTTGTATGTTTGTTCTTAAATGGAAGGAAACAAACCACAAATTACTCGTAAGTAATATTACAAATTACTTGTAGGCAATTTGTAATATAAAACTCCTTGCAATTGCAAGAGATTTAATCCACAGAGAGCACTGAACACAGGCAGATTTAATTTAAAAGCTTTTCCAAGGAAGCTTTTTAGGAGTCAAATATTAAATACAGTCACCTCCACAATTTAAAGTGCTGTTGAGGTTTTTTTCTTTATCTGCTTTTTGTTTGGTTGTTTTTCATAAAGAATTCTTTGCATTTCTGAAAATCAGTCTGCAAATGACAACTATTGTGGAAAAAATATACTGGAAATTTGTTCTGTAATTTCAAGTGTTCTTGAACGCATTTCTACAGTTCAAAGAAAAAAAAGACAAAAGTGATTTTAAATCTCTGGTTATAAGTAGCATTTAAAATTCCATTTAGTCTGGATCTTCATGAATCGCTATTTCAGCTTCAATGGAAATTGATGAAAATTCAACTTACGCACTTTGATACTGAGCTAGGCACCCAAGTACTGAGCAACTACTTTTAGGAACAAATATCGTGAAGAATGATCCTCCTCCAAGGCAAATTTGTAACATGAAGTTCAAAGAAAGGTTATATATTCTGTTAGAGCTGTGAGTTGGAATTTAATTACTGAGTGCTACCAGCTCAATTAGTGAAAATTTTCAAAACAAAAGTATCATTCCACTGATTTTGACTTTAAAAAGAATTAACCGCTCCATGTTCTTGAACTGATTACTTAATGTGAAAATAACTTACTAATTGCACGGCAGATACAGTGAAGCATAAGGGTTTTTGTTAGTTAACTTTACAGTATTATTTATAAAAGAAACTGTTACTTGCCTGATAAGGACAAGGAATATGGTACTGGTCACAGTGGTCAAACACCCAAGTCGTTTCCCAGATTTTCCGGTTCACCAGTTCATAAACATAACATCCAAGAAGTGCTACCAGTGGCACCAAGTACAAACCACTAAAAACTCCAATTCTGATCATGAATTTCTTTAGCTTCTCCTGGTTCCTGCCATCGTGTTGGATGACTTGGCGCACGTGATTTAAAGAAATAATACCAGCTAAGAGAAGAGAGAGACCGAAAAACACACAAAGGCACAGCGGCAAAAGCACAAAGTACAGAGAGGCATCCAGATCATAGAGACCCACAAAACAAACTCCACTGATATTGTCTCCTTCAACTTTGTTCATCGCAAGGAGCATAATGGTTAGAAAACCAGGTATTCCCCAGGCAACTGCATGGAACCACATGGCCTTTTGTGTAATAGCTTCACAGCTCCATTTTCTTCCCGCTGCAAGGAACCAAGTGATTGTAAGAATCACCCACCAAATAGTTCCTGCCATAGTGAAAAAGTACAAAACCATGAAAAGGACAGTACAGGCTTTGTTTTGGGAGCCAAGAACAACTGTCTCACCAATTTCTAACTTATCATCTGCCTCATTACAGGCAGTTTTGTTCCCAAGTAAAAATCCAATAAAGTACATCAGAGAGACTATGCTGTAACAGACAGAGTAATATATGATCGGTCTCTCTGGGTACCTAA